AGTCTCATCCCCAATGGGCTGGTTCATGTCACTAGCTTCCCCCGCAGGACTATGCTCCAGGAAGTGGGCTCTCCCTAGCATAACTGCTGATTGGACATCCAGGGACACCAGTCAAAATGCTCTCCATCTGGGACACAGACTGGTCATTAGAGAAAAGCCAACCGATGATCTGCATGGTCGGCCACGATGGTCCTAGGAGTAGTCTTCCCAGTCCTCTCTTAGTCCTTTTACTGTGTATTTGTAGTTCATCAGCAATAATTATCGGTGTCTGCTCTGTGCCTGGCCCACTGTAAGGTGATGCAATACAGAAGAAAATGACAGAGGTCCCTGCACTCAGGTCCCCTGCATAGTAGAAGAGACAGAACTTTCTTTTTTCAAGAATTATTTTATTAGGCCAGCAGGTGGCATGGTTGTTAAGGGCACTGGACTCTCACATGACTGACCATGGTTTGGGTCCCAGACCTGGCAGCTTACTTTCTCACTTTCTCTCTCTCTGTCTCTCTCTGGTCAAATTTAAATAAATAAATAAATAAATAAATAAAGTTAAATAAAACAATTCTTTAAAAAAAATTATTTTATTGGGGGGCTGGCAGGTGGCATGGTGGTTAAGGGTGCTGGACTTCCACATGGCCACCCATGGTTACGGTTTGAGTCTCAGACCTGGCAGCCTGCTTTCTCACTTTCTCTCTCTCTCTCTTTCTCTCTCTCTCTGTCTCTGTCTCTGTGTCTCTGTCTCACTCTCACACTCACTCTCTCTCTGGTCAAATTAAAATAGATAAGCAAATGGATAAAAGTTATTATTTTAACTTGCTTGAGTTATCAGAGAAAAAGAGAAGGGAAGTGAGAAAGCAAGCTACCAGAACTGGAACTTGAACTGTGGTCAGCCATGTGAGAGTCCAGCGCCCTAACCACCATGCCACCTGCTGGCCTCAGGATGACAGAATTTTAAAATTCTGCTTCTGGCAGAGTGTGGGAAGGGCCTTGAACAAGGTGTCAGGGGGTGCAGTGGGAGCTTAGGGGACAGGGTGGACAGAGAGGGTCGTTTGGACTCTGCTGATGGTTCAACTAGGTAAATGACACCCTCCTGTTCAACTTCCTGCTCACCACATGTCCTTTTTCTTGGGCTTCTGGTTCACCACACCTTTCTCCTGTGACAGCATAGAAATCTCCTCTGTAAGATTTTTGTTCTCTTATATTCATGATAGAGTATGTGCACACGGGTGTGTGCAAGAGAGAGACAAAATGAGATGAGCATCCACAGGGTCTGATCACACCATGGTCCCCTTCCCCCAGTCCTCCAGCCCATCCGATCCTGGACATTCGCTTCCGTGCCCGTCGTGCCTTGGGCTGGCTGACCAGGCCATAGACTGCACACATGGTTGCCAAGTGGGATTCAGCTTCTCTCTCTCTCTCTCTCTCCTCCAGTGACATAGCCATTATGCTAACTGCTGGTCCCAGGATTCAGCTTCTCTTGAGCAGTGCTTTACTGCTGTTCCTCAGAGCCAGCCTTCCTCAATCAGACTGTGACAGAATGATTTGATTTTAGCTTGGCCTGTGTCAATCATCCCACACGTGGCTCTCTCGGAGTCTACCCTGGTTACCTTGGTTTGGGGAAATCTCCTGGTCCCATCCATAGCAATGCAGGCTGCTGCTTAGGGTGGATGGTTACATTTGGCCCCTTTTATCCTTTTTTCTATTGATTTCCTCTACCTTCAATGTCAGAACTAGACCTTTTACTTTTTTGAGAGAGAGATTTTTGCTATAGGGCACATGAGCTCACCAGAGAGAGAGACAGAAAGCTAGAAATCAGCCCCCAGGGTTATGGCCACATTGCAATCCCTTCTCCTTCATTTGCCTCTTGGGATTTGGGGCATGCATGCACACATGCCCAATGTGTTTTAAGCCACCAGGTCCAGAACTTGAATTATGGTCAACTACGTGGGAGTCCAGTGACATAACCATTACACCATCTGCTGGTCCCAAAAACTAGACCTTTTTCATGCTCTTATGACTCAAAACTCCCCATACACACCAAGACACGTACAACATCTTACACCTTCTTTTTTTGTGTGTGTGTGAGTTTTTTGCCATAGGGCATGTGCACTCGCCATGCAGACAGAGAGAGACAGAGAGACAGAAAGTGAGAAATCACCCCCCAGGGGGGATGGCCACGCCGCAATCCCTTCTCCTCCATTCTCCTCTCGGGATCTTGGGCACGCACGCACACGTGCCCAGCGTGAGTTTTAAGCCACCGGGTCCAGGACGCGAACCGCGGTCAACTATGTGGGAGTCCAGCGACATAGCCATTACGCTAACTGCTGGTCCCAACAACATCTTACACCTTCTGAGATCATTCCATTGTCTTCTGGAGTAGTCTTAAACCACCAGACCATGAAGTCCAGTCTTGCTTTGAAGAATCTGGAAGCTGGGCCTTGGTAATCACTGTGGGTAAGAATCTCAGATGACACAAGGAACTATACCAGTGGGCTCCCTGAGTGATGATAAATGAACTCCCATAGAATCGATACTGAACTCTCTGAGGTTTCTTTTCATATTCTCAACTCTGAAATACCAAGGTCGCTCATGGGAGGTGGCCTCAGCTCTTCCTGACCAGATGCTCTCATTCCATGGGACCACCCAGAGGGAGCTCAGAACCTGACCAGCACCCCTCTCTGGATCTTGGCATTTCTGCACAGACATCTCTGCCCAGGATCAGCAAAGAGGACTCCTAGTGTCCAGAGGAGTTGCCTCCAGGATGGCCACTAGGCTGACAGGTCCCTTCTCAGATCCCCTCTCAACATCTCAGGCCTTCTCCTGACCAAGGAAGCACCGGAGAGACAGGAATGGCAGTTTCTCTGAGCACAGGCGGGTCTGTAGTTATTCTCCAGACACCACGTTAGGTTGGGAGGCCCCTTTTCATTTGAGGTGGTCATTTTAATGTGTCTGAAAGGAAACATAAAGCAAATCATTTCTTTTGAACTTTCTGGCTCTTAGGCTTTTCTTTCTTTTTTGGGGGGAGTGTTTTTAGGCCTCAGAAATGGCAGTTTTCAGCGCTTCTTTTGTTAGTAGATAGTGAAAGACCAGGTGACTTGTTTTCTCAGAGCTACTGGGGGACAGATGTGTGGGGTTCATTGCCCTCCGACTCATTTAACCTTAAGGTTGGCAGCCTCTCTGAGAGTCAGTCCTGCCCACCAGTCTCAGAGATC